AGGAGGAGGAGGAGGAGGAGGAGGAGGAGGAGGAAGAAGAGGGAGGAGAGAGCGGCAGCAGCGAGGAAGAGAGCGAGGAGAGCAGCAGCGGCAGCAGCAGCAGCAGCAGCAGCAGCAGCAGCAGTGAGGACGAAGAGAGCGGCAGCGGGGAGGAGAGCGAAATCGACGAGGACGAGATGAAGTCAATCCTCATGCACTCTCTCACGTAAGCACCGCCACACATGCATGCACCATCCTTTTGTGCATGTGTTGCTGCTGAATGTTCTGCAACGTTAGTGGCATCTTGCCTCCGGTCTGGGGGCAAGGGTCACACGGATGGGATGAGGCGGAGCTTACCCCTCGTCGTTATATCGAAATTTTTTAGCGCCCTTTCCCTTTGAACATGGCACTCGTCCTCGATCTGAACAGTCATTCTGGCTTCACAAGATGGCGGGCTCCATTGTAATCCCAAGCTCATGCGGGGTTTGATTGTTGGAAGCGATAAATGTGGAAACGTCGACTCACACATAGATACCATGCCTAGTGGTGTCTTACTGGATGGCAATTTCTTTTGATCGGGACGAAGCGACGCCCCACCCCCCAGGTGTCTTTTCCCGGAATCTGACCGCTACACGGAGGGGTAACGTGACGTGCTCCCCTCCTCTCATCCCAAAAACCGAAGCTGCTGACTGCGAAGTGCTCGCCCACCTCGTGACGCGCGTGGAGGTTTCGCACTCCCCACCCCCCCCTGCCGATTAGCAATCAACCACCTTCTCGTTTTTTTTATTGTTTTTTCCAGGATACAACAGCTGGGCATGAGGCTGGTGTGGAAGTTCCTGAACGACCGCGAGGGGTGGAAGTTTCGCCGAGGCCGGGGGCTGGAGCCTTCATTCCTCTACTACCGGACGGACCGGCCTATGGTGACGTTCCCCAACCAGGGGGAGGTGAGGGCGTCGACTGGCTGCTTCTTTGTTTGCTCCTAGACGCACGCCCAGGAGGTGAGCAAGATGCACCAAGGTTGCTTGCTCTCTGCACCGTCCGTTTTGTTGGCTTGGACGTGGTTGGCGATAGTGTATGTCCAACGGTCGACTGGTGTCTGGTGGACGAAGCGAGCGATGAGTTTTTTTGTGGTTGGTGCCTTAAGATTGTGTTTGTTTGGTGGGTTCCGAACACAAAGGTTTCTCTCTCCGTTGGCGTCTCTGTCCTCTCTGGCTGTCTCTGGCTCTCTGCTCTTTCCCTGTCCTTCTCTGACTCTGTCCTTTTGGCACCCTCGCTCTCTCTCTCTCTGTCTCTCTCCCTCCCTCTCTCACACACACACTTTTTCTCTCCATCCGCTGTCTCTGACTGTTTCTGTCTCTTTATCTCTCTCTCTCTCCGCCTTTCTCTCTGTCTCTCTGCCTCACTTTGCCTCACTTTACCCCTCTCACTGTCTCTCTCTGTCTCTGTCCGGCTGTCTCTCTCTCTGTCTGTCTCTGTCTGTCTCTCTCTCTCTGTCTCTCTCTGTTTCTCTCTGTCTCTCTCTGTCTCTCTCTCCCTCACTTCTTTCTCCGCCTCTCACTCTCATTCTCTCTCTGTTGTACCCCCCCCCCCCCCCCCCCC